GCTAATTTAATCGCTGGTTGATCGAAACTATTTCAATCTTGCAAGATATATATGATGGTCCTTCCTGTACTTTCTCAAGAAAAATATTACATACAATGTTGTACTATAATAGAACACTCTCTCGCTCTTCCGACATATCGAAAAATACGACTTTCTCCCCCCACTGAAGAAGTTAATAATAATGTTTATTCTAATTGCTAATATTATTATTTAGTTATATTTCTTCCTTCTCTTTATTATTCTTCTCTTATTCTTATTCTATTTGCCATCGATTCACGATTAGAAATCATTGATGTTATGTGTGCAATGATGCTCATTGTCAGTGTCTCACCATTTTTTTCACAATGGATATATTAAATACAAAACATGTATACGTGTTCTACAACAAAATAAGATTGTTAGATAGGCGTGACATTGTAAAAAGTTCTACTAATATCTTTAACATATCCTTAAATAGAAAATTCTACTTTTTGTTTATCTCTTACAGAACTTTCCTCGTAGAAAAAATTGTAGAAATCATATTAATCATATTACTTTTATGGCTCTTTTCAACGATGTAAATAAGGAGAGAGACTCAATTTACTCGTTAAAGTTATAATTATTAAGAAAAAACATTGATTCATCGATTATGAGAAACTTCTGAGACGATATTATATATTCTTTTATTTTACATTAGAAATTTAGAAACTGGGAATATTACTTCATCAAGACTCGTTCTCGGACATTTCATAATTACCTTTTATGATTACTATCTACCTACTTCTAAAAATAAAGTTAAGTAATATTAATTAAAATATTGTGTTCATTTAAGCATCATGTTCGAGTTTTCGTATCCTTTATAAAATTAAAATTTCAGTAAATATAGATTTATGTGTATGCATGTATTATATCGAGATTAAATTTCATTTGGCTCAAGAACTTCCTCGCATTATCGACCAATGAATGTTTAATCAGTTAGCATAATCACTAATCACTTCGTAATCTCTAATCGCCACAAAACCAATAGAAAGAAAATTATACCGCAGTTCGCTTAACCACTAATTATCCATACTCATGACCCGCAATTCTATCACATTCTGTGACGCTAATCCACATACGTGACGATCAACATTCAACATGCAGGGAACATCACATTGAGTTTGATATATGTGTGACAACATATCGTACCTACATCTCTTAGCTATACGTTAAGGGTGTCTTTCCCGCGTTGTCGCGCTTTTCGTTGCAAACCACCACTTTCGTGAAAGTGTGCACGAGCGCGGAGCGATCACGCGCGATCGCTCATAAAAATTATAGGAATTTTAATCTCTAATAATTCTAATGAAAACAAAACCGGAAGAATCGTCGACACATTTGCCCTTTTTATATCAAGAGACTTTACAAGGCCATAGCATATTTGTTGTATTTACGCTGATATTCTTCAGTGTTTCCCGACACGTTGTCAGCCATTTATTACATTCAAACAGAGATGTTAGAGATTTAATTAATAAAAGTAATGTTAGAAGATATAGTTGCCATTTAAAATTATTAAATACGTATAATTTATAATTACAAAGTGGTTGTACTAAATATATACGATTTGTAAATATGGATATGGATTCTTCAATACTAATTTTCTTATTTCAAAAAATTAATCTAAATAAAGTAATAAGGTTTTTTTTTTTTAGTAATTTTCGTTTAAGAGTAAGCAGATATCAACAATTTCTATAAGTGCAGTATGTATTCACTACTTTATGTAGTCACTACGCAAAAAGGTGAGGTTTTATAAATCAAATTTTTGTATAAATTTCTAAACTTTTGACTGCACACAATACGTGTCACGATCGAAGGAAATCAGCTTACTGTACACCAGCGAAACGTTTTCTAGCTGCCATCCCTATGGCTGATGAGAAAATGGCAGAATTTCTTAACGTGTCTAAGTTTATAAATTCTAATTTCCCAAGTACCTACAGTCACTAACGACAGCGATATATTAGAAAGACGAAATTCGGAGAATATTGGGAGAAACAGTTCGATTGCTTTAGTATATGGAGTCTCGAATTATATCTCGAGCGAAACGGTATCATATAGAATGTGAGAAGAAGTCGATTGGTAGAGACCAAGAGCTTTTTCTGCTAATCAAAGAGAGTATTTCTTTTTTTACGATAAATCGCTCTAGTCAAATTTAATTTAATTTAATTTTTGCAGGCTAATTATCGCTAAACACATTTAACTACCAGTCCCTATATAATTGTTCTGCGGCCGAAATTATTTGGGTCCCGAATGATTATTGTAACTCGTTTAAAATCTTTTTACGTACTTTTCCGTTTTTCGCCTTTCTCCTCTCCTCTCGAAGTCACTCGCTTCGTTTTAATTACACATCTTACAAATCACCAGTTTAACGGCTAGTACTTACAGGCGTATGTATATGTAACAATTAATCGCGCATCTACGAGGATCAAGCGTTTCCTTTCGCGACTCGTTCAAATGTGGTTTTAGGCCGTTCGAATATGATTTGAGCACTTCCTGTTGAGAAACGGAGATCGCGATCATCATTATCGCCCGATCGCTTAAATTCCGGCGAGACATCCTTTCCCGCGAAATGTGGCGAAATACAATCGAACAAGTGACGAAAATCATAACGTCCATGATAGTGAACGTCATAATTAGATCGAAATGAAAAACGAAAAAAGAAAAAGAATTACAAATGGCTAGTTTCTTCGTTCTTCTCGCACAGCGTTTCGTCACGAAGTAAAATCTGTAAAATTATAACAAATCGATCGTGTGCTCATGTAAGAATCTTTCGACAAGTTTTTAGTACCAATAGGCAATATAATACAGCGTTACTTAAGGAATTAACCAAACGAGCGGATACAAGATCGATTTCAATCGCCGAAACGCCGATACGAGCACGCTGCCCGCTACGCAGACGAGAGAACTTGCTATTGTTGTTTGATCCACGTAAAGACACGCGCGCACTTCCGTGAGATTGTCCCTGACACTTACAATTAGACGTTAGAACGAGTACAACACAGATATGTAAGAGAAGAGGCCGTAACTCTTAATTAACAGCGTTCTCAACGAGGTGACCGATCGCGCCAATATCCATCCCGTCGCGAGAGGAAGGAAACCTACTTCCTTCGACGTTCATCGATAATTTTCTGAGGAATGTTTCTATATCTGCGACTGATTGACCTGATAATTTACGATATACCGAATGTACAATTACGCAGTAAATTAGCGATGTGTGTGCACTCGTCTCTAGGAATATTTTACACACGGCCCGCAGTACCTATATATTATAGTATATGAGTTGTAATAAGTACGCGAGACACACACATATTATCTTCTATCCATAGCGTAAGTTTTGGATCAATAGTTTCGATTGTCAAAATTGATACAACGCACGTGCGTATTTGTTTGTCCGTTTATCTGTTTGCCTGTCCGTCTGTCTATGTGTGTGCTTCGTGTGTATATATGTATGTTCGTCATAATTAGACGTGAGACAATAGCGAAACAGACTCAAGTCATGCTCTACGTTAAGATTCCTAGCGTTCTGTATCGTAGAAAAATCGTAATTGCTCTCTATCCGAGCGAATATGTCATGTGTCTAGATTTTACTATAAGGTAAGGATTTTACTGTAATCTCGAACTTCGTCGAAAACTAGACCGCTACAAGAAACGCGTGAGAAATGAGCGAAGCAAAGCGCGGTTCGAATACGGACAATTTAACCCTTTGTTCTCAGAGTCTTATAAACATATAAGTAACGTATAAACATCAATGTAATATAATTGTACATTTATATACCTCCATTGAATTACATTCAATTTTATTCATATTTATATTTAAGTGTATATAAATAAATATAATATAATTTGCATGATAAATGTAATAACAAGATATTAAATTTAAAAAAATATATAAAGTAAAAGAAAGTTTAATTATAGAAAGTTAGTATTAGTTTAATAAAGAATTATGAAGAATTATGAAGAATCTTTAAACACAAACAATGACGCTTCATCTAATCAATTAATGATAAAATAATAATTTAAAGAACAAGAGATTAATTTGTCATTTGTAATTTTATTAGTAAAGATTAAATCACTGACAGTGTGATTTAAAACTAATGCCGTTACGAAATATAAATTCTCGTCTCGAGCTCTAATAAGTATTAATTTATCTAGCATCGTCAAGAAGAGAACAAGCAGCAGCGATAGCGATAACAATATCAATAATCGGCATCGATAACGATAGCTAACGATCGTAATAGTTATTAGGTCACTTCGAAGGCTAATAGAAAACTTGTTTAGAATGCGCTCAACTACTTACAAAGGAGAGAAGTCCTCCGTCTAGAATATATGTAGATGATTGCATTCGTACGAGAAGATTGTCCATGCGATCTTCATATGAGGAAACTTTCGATGAAATGCATTTGTTCGAATTAATTATTCCTGATGATTTTTTCGTCAAAAGTTTCGCCGATTTCCTTTACCTTCGCTACAAATATATCTCTTTCGCTTGTAATTTCTATTTATGTCGTTTGTAAGATCATATTTGGAATTTATTTCTTTAACATGACTCGTATAACTCTATCGTTCGTGAGAAAAAAAAATGAATTAATAGTTGGAAATTTAATTGCATCACAAGCTACGTGTTAATTGAAATATTATCGACTTTGACGAATGCCTAGTCATTAAGATACTAGTATTATACGACATAATAAATAAAATATAGATGTGAGATTATATGTCGTAATGCGTAATTTGTTTTACAGCAAAGTTCGAATCTGTGTCGTTCAATATTCATGACATCGGATATGTCTCTAGGCCGATTATATTCGTGAAACGTTATTTTTTCTACGATATATCTGACGTAGCCCTCGCAAAGGCACAATCGTCTCGTTTATGAGTCTTGCGAGGCGTGTCGCTGGCGTTCGAGGCGAGGAGACTGATGTAGCGATTATATCGACAAAAGATGTGTGGACAGCACAACCGTTAATTAAAGTGTCTTTTTTTTCTTCTTTTTTTCGGGCCAGGCTCTCCCGCTCTGTGTGTTTTAAGTAAAAAATTACTTTCTTGATGCTTGGGCGCTCGCGATTCCGCCTGCGCGTCTTTTCGATCAAAAGTCTGCCGTTTACAGATTGCAAAGGAATTCTCAAAGGAATTGTAAGATTTGTCTTAACTATTGGATCTTAAAGACTCGAAGTTAATAATAAATAAGTAAAAATTTACGTAAAGAAAAGAGAATCAGAGCCTGATATTTTACAGAGGTCCAATATTTACAAAAAGGTGGAATTAACGGAGGCGTGTAGTAATATAAGAACTGCACATGTATATGTAAAGAATTTCGTCTCGAAAAGGACTTGCGAAAATAAATTTTCGATTAAACTTTCGTTGACATCCCTTAAACATCTACATCGTTAACACCGAGTTTTAATGATATGGGACAGTGACATCGTATTTATCCTTAATCGTATCATTTAAACACATGTACATTTTGATTATCCTTCGTTACAGTTTCCCCGCGGATCGTAATAATATGTAGTATATTTATATAGGGTATATGCATGTGTATACCACATCCCGGATCGATATCGACGCCGTAAGCTTCACGTTATACCAAGTTATACACATACACCACATCACTTAAGTACCGCCGCGTGTTCCATCGTCTGTGCACGCGTCACACTCAATATATAATAATAAATTTGTGACTTCAACTTCGTTTTACCGCGGGACTCGTGGATCATATCGTGAGAATGCTGCGTGATCATTAATTAATTCTGTTTTACGATATTATCACGTTTATTACCTATCACTAATTACTCGGGCGGGGTAAGCGCAATAAATTCTGGACAATCCATTATGTCCATAATCTCGTCGCGGGACATTGTAGGACTTAAACATTCACATTAAGGCGTCCCGAGAATCATCCCGTAAATTATCCCGAAGCGATAGATTAAGCTCGTGTTGGAATTTTCGCCGTACATCTCTTCCCTCGTCATCTCTGCCAATTTTTTCCTCTTTTCTTTTTTTTTTCATAGCCAATCAAACTGCTCGAGATTGCTTCGTGGGATCATGGTGATCTTCGAGACGCTACGCAAAACGGGACGTCAGCGTTACATCTGAGAAAGGTCGAAGAAATCCGCCTGTCCGTCCCGTCTAATCAGTCTACGAGCTACAAAAATTGTGCGACTTCTAAAACACCGAGTTTGGTTGGTTATTAATCAAGTTGGCCGCGAAGTTATCTTCGGGGACTCATCCGCTCGTCTCGCCACCGCCTCAACCTCTTTTTATATCATTGGCTCGGCCAGCGAGCCTTGAAACGATTGTCTACCATTAAATAGTTACGCCGATCGAGGCATTTCACTCGAAAAAAATTCTGAATTTTTATAATTTGAGATTATTTCGTAATAGTTTATGTCGACTTTTTATTTCGTAACAGTTTATGTCGATATAATATTTGTGAAAATTAACATTTATATATGTCTAATGTAAGAGAACAACAGAAGACAACACAATTCATAACTACATGTCGATCATTAAAGCAGAATGAAGAGATTGTAATCGTTTACTATATTGTTGCAAACTTCTGTTTTGCATTCCAAATCGAATATCTACGTTAGAGAGAAACGCGAATCCTGAAAACGCCTCGTCGACGTAGGAAGATCAAACAGGCTCTATATCCCCGTTGACCTTTAAGTATCGATATTTGAATTAGTACGTGCGAAATTCGATCGAATCACTGACTGGATCAACCAGATGAGACCGCCGTCGGCGGCAGATGTCGATCGAGTTTCGCTTCGCACATTCGATATTATATTTGTTTTGGGAAAAATGGACCCTTATCATTTCATCAGGATACATGGCTGCCTTCCGCTCGCCTCTGTAGTTACTCGTCGAAAAATAAACTTTTCGTACCTTTTCTTCCTTTGTCCCTGTTGCTTCGTGCGAACAAGACTTGCACAGGTACACCTTTATTGCTAAAATCACTGCGAGTACCGACAAAACACTCACAGATATCGAAAGGCGTTAATCGAAGGAACTCGGTTCTCTTGAATCTATTTACCTCTTCGCAAAGTTTAAAATGCGACGACGCTGACGCTGACATCGCCCGACAAGCGTAAGTTCAATGGAAGCATTATTATGTCTTTACAATTTTTTAAGTTGATTGTCTTCTCGAACAATTGTATAAACCATCTGAAGTTGATTGTCTTCCGGTTTTTATGCTATGCATGATTACCGATTTTTTTCAATTAATTAAGTCGTTTGTCATACAACACGTATGATCGATCCATGTTACAGATTGATCTTATTATTTTTGAAAATCGCTTTTTTTACATTGCGATGAGCAATCTGAAGTTCTTATGCGACATTTGTTTTAACTTTAGATTTATGTTAGAAAAAAAAGATAAAAACTTTTGCTATAATATTTTAATAATATCCAATTTTTTTCTAGAAACACATATTTCTTCTATCATATGTAAATGCCAATAAATAATCAAATATTTAACTGAAAGATTTGTTCATTACTTGTTTGTTTGCATTTTTAATTAAATAACAATTATTAAATTAAAATACATTAATCGACTTAATACCAGCAAATTATGAGTGTCGATTAATTAATAAAAGTGTTTTTCTACCTGTATCCGCATGTTATTGTGATTAATTATAATTGAAAAGTGTTGCGGCAACATAGAAAAACTGAAACTTCGTCGATGCGAACTTCATTTGCCTTTTGGGACAAAACGTAAGCCTCGTCGCTGCACTCAAGGACTTGTAATAATAAAGAGTGCCGTTGTCTCGCGAAGATCGAGATCGCGTTGTATTCGAACTAGCCGACATTGCCACGTGATCAGCCACGATTTCCATCAAGAGATGATCTTGACGACGGACTCGCCCTCGTCCTTGAGCAAAAGGCTCAATCTGAGGTCGAGCTCGCCGGCCTCGAGGGCCCACTTTTCCCTTAACCATCATGGCGAGTCCGCGTTGTGATGGCCGAGGGTGTGGATCGGGAAGAGCGGATACCAGTCGAAGATAAATTCCTTGGGCGGCAGCAGATCGAGATCCACTTCGGCGCCGCCCAGGCCCTGGTTGCTCTCGAAGCCCTGCTTCTTCTCCCACAGCATCACCAGCAAGTGCCTGCTCTGAATGGTGTCGGAGCGTCCGTATTTCAGCGTCTGCCGATACTGCGGAGTCTTCGAATGTCGCACCACGCGAGTCTTGCGCTTCTGCAACCACTTGTCGCCGTCTCGCTCGCGCAAGTACGTCTTCACGTAAGTATCTACGGGACAAGGATAAAAATTTCGTTGTCAATATTCGGGAAAATGGCCTTAAAATCTGACACTTTCGGCGTATCTGCGAGTGGAAAGAATTCTCCTGCGATTTTCCAATTATGATCAATGAAGATGTAGATCAAACTCGAGATCAAAGGCACATTCAGGTTTTTTTAAATATAAAAATAGAAACAGTTAAAGATCTCTGAAGGAGGAAACAAAAGGTGTATTATTCTACTATAACTAAAATATTAAAAAACTGAGCTAATAGCTCTTAGCTATCTTTAAAATATTTATAAAAACGTTACACGTCAATTTTACTACAGTTTCGGCCTTAATAAACCTTAACAAGTTAGCGGATGTAGGTCGTTGCCATTAACCGGGCGTGTTGAACGCTCGCTCGGAAATTTGTTTCTAAACGCTAAAGTAATGCATGAATAATCAAGACCTGAACACCCGCACGCTGTAAAAATAGCGGCTGCGAAATTAACGCCCGCGCGAGGATAGATAGCCGGGAGGATCTCAAAGGTACTACGTGTTGCGAGAATTTTATAGTAACTGCAAACAGAGGAACGAATAACTCGAATGGGGGGAGGGGGGGAATTAACAGCGGTAAAGAGAAAAGGCACGCTCCTCAAATTACCTGGCTCCTCCTTCTCGTCGGGACAAATATCCCTCGCGCAGATAACTTCGACCTCGAGAGTTCCCTTGCACATGTAGAAGCCCAGCTGTACTTCGCCGTTCTGTGCTCCTGCAATGTTTGCGATCGCAATCAAATGGATACGGAAGTATCCAAAAATTTTAATAAGAAAACTAATAAGATAAAATAAAGATTGATATAGACATTCGAGATTTAATGAGTTAAAAAATAAACGCGATTTCAGCTTTGTGATTTATCAATTTGAGTAAAATTATCTCAATCAGAGGTAGGTAATATTTTTATAAGGAAGAACTCTTTTTCGAGTTAGTCGAAATTACATTTTAGACAGAACTAAGAAAAAAATATATATATAGTATTTGCGAAAATAAATAATTTAATCTTAAGGGAACTGAAGGGGGGAAGGGTGATATAATGGATATTTTACCACTGATTATTTTGTATCCTTTTGGCAGCAACTGTCCGCGACCCAGTTTCAGATTGACGCCATTTTCATTTCTCGCTGACTGACTGAAATAACAAAAGTTATGCCATAGAAATTCAATTACGTTTAATTTAATGAATATCAACTTAGGATGTGATTCAGAATTTCCGTCCGCTCTTCTACCGTTGCATGTACGATAACCGAACTAAAATATCAACGACGCGATGATGTAAAGCGTAACTGATGAATTGATAAATAGACATTGAAAATATGAGTAGAACAGAGTGATTGATCCACTTTAACTTTTGTCACAAAAGATGGATCGCGTACCTCCATTTCTCGTCTTCGTCGGATTCGCTATTTCGATCGTAAAATCTCTCAGGAATCTCCTTGACGCTGTCTTTGCGCTCACCCCGCCCTACGAGTTGAAAAATATCTTTTTACACTATTGATCACATTGGACCGGCTGCAAATTGTATGGTGTTGCACGAGCAAGCAGAAATCTATCTTATCACGATATTACTCGAATCTTATTCATTGAATGACAATACTCATGATGAAAATTTATAAATATTATCACAATTGACATTCCTGGATTTAGGCGATTTTCTACGTGCTTCCATACAGATTGCAGTTAAGTAGTTTTATTAAATAAAACAATTTACACCTGCCAATCAGAAGAGTCAGTTCTACGGGCTTGTAATTTCAAACTCAGTTTTTGTATGCAACACATCTCTCACAGAAGCTTCCTACTGAACAATACGACAGTTGCAAAGCATCTTCGGTCGTGTGAATTTCAAAATGATTCCAACAATCTATATTCTATCGTTAACGTAATTACGTTTCTAAAAATGTTTATTAAAATTTGCTTCGAACATCCGGTGGCACTTCAAATAAGCGATCGTGAAGATATTAGATAACTTTTTTTCTGGTCGTATATTGTATAATACTATAATGTACATGTAACTTTTATAATAAAAAATAAATAAAGTACATCATATATATCACTGTTTTACAATAATATCGATTTTTAAATTGCCGATAACGTCTACTTTATTATACAAGGATATGCAGTGAGGATTTCTATGCATGCAAATTCGATCGATGCCAATGGGGCTACTAGCCGAATCATGAAATTCAACGACCGAAGCTTCCTGAATTAGGTAAATGTATGTAATAAATTCCAAACGCGTTTTCTACATAGAAGTAAGATACAAACTTCGGCTCCAAAGTACCAATGATAGCAGGGAGTTTCAACTCTACGAAGAGGGAAGTTCGGTCTCGCTAGCTGTAATAAGATAATTAGAAGCTCGGAGAGCTAATAGAGTTCGTCCTTGTTCTATTGTTAACATATTCTTCTTGAAGTTCTCATTATGATTCTTATACATTTATACTTGCCCATATATTTATTCTAAGACATACATATCACTCCAATTCGAGCAAACGCTCTTTGTCAAAATTACAAATTTATAGATAAATTAAACATATATATGGATTTTCATCTGAAATTATATTTTCTATCGATTTGTTTTTAGTTTTCCTGCTATAAGAAAAGATATTAGGATTTCTTACCCTATGCCCTATATATATTTATCATTTATTTCTACAAGCATTATTGTACATTTCCCGAATTTATATATCTTTTACTTCTAATTTTTATATTAAAAAATTCTTTATTAAAAAATTCGATCGAAATATATCATTTCATCCATATACATCATATTTGTACATTAACATTATCATTTTATACAAATGTTAATAAAATATTTTTGTATATAATATAAAAATATTCCTTGGTGCAATATATAAAAACTAGATGTCATAAAGTAGAAAATTTTAAATATATGTACAGGTAAGAATAATTAATATAAAATACATTTGTTAAAAGTTAAAGAGAAAAAAGATTAAGAACAATTTCGGAACTAGCAGACATAGTATAAAGAAAGAATCGGTAGAAAAACGTCGTATAGTCAGTATAGAGACAGTGTCAGATAAGTCAATCACACTAATAAAATGCTACTTGTCAGATGTTCGTGTCAATATAGAGCTAAAGACGTGCGACGATACGACGACGATGGCATTCGACGACTTCTCTTACCTAAGATCACGATTGTAGATAGCAACAGTGGTAGCAGTAAGTTGGCTAGCGTTCAAATTATCTATAAATGCTAATAGTGCGCTCAAGCAAATATTCCAAAGCGTTATTATAGTCGCTTCAATTGCTAAAAAATTTAGGAGAGAGAAGCAAAAAGGAAGTCGTAAAGGTTTTGCAGTAAGGAACGTGGATAAGGTATTTTGTATACTACTCACCTGTCTGCAGATGACTCGAAAAATTGCATGACTACTTCCACAATGTATTGTTAGTTAAATAAATAACGTTTGTGCATGAGCAAACGTGTATGGATACATGTATGTGTATATGTGCTTGTAAAATTTAATCACCTATCCATCAATTATGAAAGTTATACGTGAAGTTGTTAACGTTACAATAATTAAAGATGTAAAGACTGATGTGCGCGTGTATTTTCTGAAACTATTAGGTTATAATGGATATATTAATAAAGTTATAATTGGTAATCAAACTGAATTCACTACTTAAGAAATTTCAATTGTTAACAAAGTCAAATAAAATAATAAAAGCAATTTCAGGAAAAATGTTACATTTATTATTTCAAGTAGTTTTCAAGTAGTTATCTCGATCAAATTTACAGAAGATATAATCCTTAGAAAAGAGAAAAAAAAAAGAGATAAAGTTAATTATAGAAGATAGCAAGGAATTAATGTACTAACTCCTTGGCGTTTAGAATGGTTAACTAGACTAATAAATGAGAGCAGAAGATGAAATAGAGTACGATTAACGCAAGCAGGAAATTAATGATATACCGAGAAGTTGCAAAACTGACAGAAGTATAATTAATCTCGTTGTAAAAAATTATATCACGATGGGATCACGAAAGAGACGCGTGCAAAGATGAAAGAAAATATTCCGCGGGTGGAGTTCGCCAACATGTTATCCTTTTTTTGTCTTATGATAAATAACATTTTGTACGTCTTTGAAAAGTACAACGTGTATCGGGGGAAAGACAAATTAATAGCACATGCACGCAGAGGGAGAGAAGAAATAAAATTGCAAGAAAAGCGACACGTGAGAGACATTAGAACGGTATTCTTTGTATATTGATATATCTATTTCTTTTTTATATTATTGATTACGTCATTGATTAGTAAAAAAGAGAACAGGATAAAACAATGGAAGAAAGTAAATATGGAAGGTTACAGAGAAAAAAAGAAACCGTGAGCGTATGACACACACAGACAAATTGCTGTTGCAATTGTTATAAAAAATGCAATGTTGCAATGATTATAAAGATATTTGTTGCCTATGTAAATTTTGCCTGGAGATCTCTTCTGTTGAAAATGTGTTATTGTAATTAATATTTTATAAAATTAATTGTATTAGTAAGGAATTATGAAAAAATAAAATATTGCAAAATAAAATAAAATATTAATAATATCACCAAACTTCAATTGACTATAACTGGCATATTTGTTCACAAAAAATCACATGGTAATGCCAGTTATAGTCAATTGAAGTTTGGTGATATTATTTTATATTCACTGGCGGAAAAAAACCTTTCCATTAAAATAAAATATTCATTATACCTTCGAATAAAACGTGGTGTTGCTAATGGAATTAATGTTTGGCTATAGAATGGTTAATTTTTTTAATACTAAAATCGCGTAAAAATTACCTTTGTAAAAAGAAAATAAAATGTTCATCAAATTGGAGTTGTAATCTGAGAATTCAATCAGACTTGGGAATTTTTGAATCTAAAATCATGTTTCTACTTTTCGTTTATTTACACCCGAACTAATGGATATTCTGATATCAATTTTGCTACGTCTACGTTTGACGTATCAATAAATTTACTCCGTTCTTATTCTCTCTCCGTTGCAGAATAAACACTACGATACCGTTTGTTAAAAGGGGAGTTTTAATTAAAGAGGCAAAATTTGGTAGCGAGATTCTGCTCAAAATACAGATAGACAGAGAGTGATAGAGGAAAAGAGCGATAGACAGTGAGCGATAGAGAAAGAGTGTGTCTTACCGGAAGCCCGTAACGTTGGTTGACAGTGCCTTGCGATTATTTATCGAGGTGGTGTGGAGTGCGGCAATGGGAAGGAGGCCGAATTACCGGTCCTCGGAGACACAGGCTCGCACTGCCACACAGTAACTGTTGGGACTACGCACTCTGTTGTCGTTGTTGGTGGTCGATGGTGGTCGATTGGTTGGTTGGTTGGTTGGTTGGTTGGTTGATTGGTTGGTTGATTGGTTGGTTGGTTGGTTGGTTGGTTGGTTGGTTGGTTGGTTGGTCGTGCGTGCGTGGCCCACGATTTGTCGTCGATAATCGGGGTGGTGACGATGGTCGATGGCGTTTCGACCGAGCGAACCAAGTGTTTCGCGATTCGAGTTGAGTACGAAGAGCGTTCAGAGTTTTGGCATTGGCGGACGGTGCCGACCGAGAAAGGATATCAAGATAATCAGCAATACAGTCAGTGAGGCGTCAAGTTCTAAGTGCACGCTGCGCTCGAGGCCGTGCACTTACGTGAACGAAGATATGCACATAGATGTTAACAGGAAGTCGGAGGGCGAGAAACTGATTAGGTGATTGCGATTCTTTTGATGACGTCGGGGACGCTTAATGATCGCTTCGATTATTAAGCGCAGCGACTTATACTGTCAACGAGATGAACGGCCGCATAATTCGGCCGATTTTTGTGCGAAAGCGAGGAAACTGAGTAGGGATAATTGTGAGTAGTACTTTGACCCGTCGCGTTGAATTCATTCTCTTCACGTGCTCCAAAAACATCAGCCAGCTTCTTTCTCATGCACAATTTAAAGCCTGCTTCCTCGTAAATCTTCTAGTATCTTCATTAGCCGTCAGCAGATAAAAAATACGCTAATTCTGTGTTAAACTAAGTAAAGTTCATTCTACATCGAGGTGAAATATTACTTTGACTTTGTGAATTCTGTTAGCGTGTGCCATATTATGTAATAAACGTTCTTTTCATACGTTTAATTAATACTTTAGTAGAATAAAATGTCAAATACAATATTGTAAAGATTATGGAAATTGGATACATTCAATATGCTAATATACAAAAAGCACCAATATTGTCATTAAATATTAACTGCTTCGATCTTTATCTTTAATCAAAAAATTTTCATAATTATTAACGTATTATCACCGCAATCGACTTTGTACGTTCAGCACGTAGCAGAAGCCGCCAGCTAAAGCGACCGTTAAGCCTGAAAGATGAAGAAACGATAATCTTGCTGACAGAACGATCAGCAACGCATCGTGGCACGCTTGGTGTCAATGCGGCAAACAACACTCGGAGGAGTGAATGAGAGGCTGAACAGCATAAGAACAAATAGAGATAGAAAGAAAGAGAGCAACAGAGAAAGAGCGGAAGATCGCGGCGCGTAAAGTCACACACGTGCGTGCAACGGTATACAGAAGCACAACAGCGAATTATGTTTTCCGCTATTGTGGCGAACGGCGGTGGCGGTGGCAGCGGCGGCGATGACACTGTTTCTCGCTTCGTAAAAGCCTGAGGTACAGCCGTACAGCGAGAGAGAGCGAGAGAGAGAAAAAAGAGAGAGCAGGGGATTTGAGTCGTTACTGTCAGGCTGTGAGACGATACGAACAATCAGCAACAGGCAACAGCGGCGCGCAACAGCGATCGCAAAATACAGTTGAGCAGAGAGCGCACAGATCGTGATCGCGTTAACTTTTGCTGGTTTTGGTGGAGAACACATCGACCTCTTCGTGGAACGCAAGCAGAGCGAGAGACAGACACAAAGGCGGAATAAAACGTGGTGGCTTAATGCTCGGTAAAACCACGTCGATTTACGAGCATTTCCGTCGACCGGGACGATGACTCCTCGAGACGTAAAAGCGGAGGATGATTGACGAACAAAGCTTGAAATTTTTCCGCAGATCCAAGCGAGAATGTCGCACGATGGATTTGTTTTTAAGCTCCACGATGGACCCACGCGGTAGTGATCGAGATGCTTTTCTACTTTTTTTCTGACTCGATTCCATTCCGACGTCGACGAGTCAGTTCCGCGCAGCTAGACGAACCTGTGCGATGACTTTTTGGCGAGTGTTCGTTGGGGATTTGCAGTCTAATCCAGAAGCGAGGTAAACGCTGAATCAAGCATCGAGCGTATGAACGATGAGATAAGCGACGAGGCACAATTGAGGATGTAAAACAGAAGGCGAGGATCGAAGGCGGTCATCGTCATGGTCGACATTATAGACACGAAAATCTATTATCGAGTCGATCGTATCCCGAAGTCTTGTCAAAATCCTTTCCAGGTCGGGCTACTCCCGTTTTGAATCCGTCCGATTTAGATTCCACAAACTGGGACAAAAATGGCTTTTGACAAAAACGAGTGAGAAATTCCTTCGTGTATTAAGATCGTTCGCTCGGTCAAACCGCGCGGGGTCGACAGGACGTGATAGTGCGAGTTAGATAAATAATAATTGCATCGACATCCGAGTACAAAAATGTTGGATAATTGTTGGAAAAAAGAAGGGTTTCTAATTCTACAAAAGAGAGTCGTACGATGTGGTTAAACATATAGGTGAGGGCTACACTGAATATAAATTAGGAACGTGATTATACGAAGTAAAAATTATATGTAATAAAAAGAATTGCAGATTATAATAATTTCAAAATATTTAGGAATTTAAAAAATACCTTTTTATGGCACACTGAAGTTGTACATCGAGATAATTATTGCGAAAGTGTTCTGCTTTCTTCGTGCCATATGATAGTATATAAAGACGTAACAGTAAAAATAAGAAATGTTTTCAGAATTTTTTGCCAAACAGTTTTTACTTCAAAAATTTACATTTTATCGGATAATTATATAGATTTACATTTAAATGGGATCTTTTCTTAATAAAAAATATGATATTTAACCTTTTAATTAATTCTATTACTTAACAAAAATTAAAAAAAATTTTTTTAATTCTTTACTTTTTGGTTTTATGTAGAAACAAGCGGAATATTTTTTAGAAATCGTAGAATAGTGAGTTAGTGCAATTTTATTTTCTGTACACAAAAATTGTTTTCTGAAAATTGAAATAAAAAATAGGGAGAAAAACAATATTAATAAAGAGAAAGAAACAGGCAAGTGATTCATGTAACGTACACACATAACGAATATGGTCGGACAATCACATGTGAGACGAACACACATGTGTACGAACACTCAGATACAATGCACACGCGCTCTCGCACACTTACATACATCTGGATGCACGAATTATGGTATGGCGTTTTATTAATGATTCTCTTAGTCGAGCCAGAGATAGTGACGGTGACCGTGATGGTCGCCAACGAGACGTTAAACAACAGTAACGGTGACAAAATAGAGAAAGACAGAAAAAGAGAAAAAGTGTATCACAAAATGCAGTAAAAATGGTTCGTGGAGGTGTGACGAATGGAGAGGTACAAAAGGCAAACAAACAGTCGGACGACGGACGAACGAACGAGCGAAATGATGGCCAAAAGAAGCGAGGAAAATGTTTATACTCACGGCTGCCGCGTTTCTTGTCGCCGGAGAGACTCATGGTCCTGCTGAGTTCGCCTTTGGTCGCCTTCAACGCTCGCAGACCCTCCAGGATCTCCTCGGGATCCCTCATCGGTCTGGTGAATGAGCTTCGCCGCCGATCGCGATTGTAATGCACTATAGCCGGCATGTCAGCCTCGCCCATGCTTCCACCTGGAACGAATTTAAATTAAGAGCAATTAGATACAATTACGAGAATCATACATTAGTGATATTGAAGGACTAATGACATTTTTCATTCGTATTTCGCGAAATGAAATTTAATTCTAATATAGAACGAAAGTTCACAATTGTCCATACAATTATTAAATAGAATAAATAGATCATAAATTGTTACATATTTGTGATTTTCATTAAAGAAAAAAAAAGAATGTTACAATGTCATTCTTTATGATGTTGCCCTTTTGTTTTTTTAATGCTTCTTTGATGCCTGCTATTTTTCACTTCGCGGTGCATCGATTTCTGTTGTTTACAACGTTTACACGAGCATCTTCTAGCTGAAGTGACGTAATCGAATAGCGATAATCGAGGAAGCTGTTACTTAAGCGTGCCAAGTGCTCCCAAGCAGAGGTACTCGAGGCTACCCAACAATAGCATCACGGATAGTCCCACTCTATCGTTATATCATCTTTGAAAAGGAGACAGAAGAAGGGGCGAGTTCGCTTGAAAATGGCCAGCTTGCAACGAAAAGCGGAACACGGTTTATTGGGTCGAGTATCCGCGAACAATGTCGAAAATTTTGACGAAAACATCTTTTAAAAACTTGAATTTTCAAAAATTTTAACGTTCTAAGATTTCGTTTAAGTTTTTTTGTACCGAATGCGTTATTTGGCAAATGTGTGCAAAATCGCTTGTAACACCAACTTAAAGATATATAAAAAAAACTTTATTATGGTGATTTACTATAACAAATATATCATATCTAATGGATTTTAAGTTTAAATTTTACATTTACATTAAAAAAGATATTTGTTTATTTTTTCTTTACTTATTATTATATCTCTTAATTTTGCACAATAATTAAACACTAAGAATTATTAATTAAGAAAATTAAATAGAATATTAAATAAGAATGTTAAATAAAATGAAAATTTTCTTAAATTTCTCTGCGGAGAAGCTTGATATGAATTTAATTCAAGATATCATTTCTTTGTAATTAAAATTCTATCTTTCCGATTACAATACTATTAAATGCTCTCGTAATTATAAGCCTCGCATTAATTTCTCTTGGCCAAGAGACTAATGGAAATTAGTTGAGGGAGATCCTCTTACTGACGCGTCGTTGCATTCCCGCCAGCAATTTCTCCGAAAGAGAAATTGGATGGTATCGAATCTTTTTCGTGACGCTCACGTTTGCTGTCGGTGCCGCCTTGACTCTGGAAGCTGCTTCTGCGGCTACCCGGCAGAGATCTGCTGTAATCCCGGTTGAGCTCATAAGGCTCGACCTCGAGTTGCTCGGATTGGCTGGAACCGCGTCTGGAATTGGCGTGCCAGGCATGGTCCGGATGCAGGAAGCAGAACTCCGGGCTACCGCTGTCGCTCTGCGTATCGTCGCTGTAGCTACGATCCCGCAGCTCCTTCCTAAATAATCTCTGGGCGACCTCCATCGATAGCGAACCGCGCGGCGAGCAATACGGCGACTTGCCTGTTCGAAGCCCGCGTGGATCCTCCAGCCGATACCTGACATTTCATAGATTGCGATACTTCGACATATAAACGGTTAACAAGATCTCAATTTTCGTATTGTTATTAATCATCGATTTGATTGCTGTACAAAATTACGTTAATTAGTTTATGTATCTATTTATATTTATTATTTATGAACAGTGAAGAGATTTCACATATTAATATTAATATTTGATACATTTATAGTGCAATGCACATATTAATATCACATTAATATTTAATACATTTATAGTGCAACTAATAATATTTGAGACATTAATATTTAATTTAATACATTTATAGTGCAATTCATAATAATTAATAACATTTAAAATACTAATTCTATTAAATTTATAACAATTTCTAAATATTATAGCAATTATAGTTTAGCTGACTATAAAATTCATAGACTGTTTTACTGTTTTACAGTCAAGAACCGCGTGTCAAATGATCATTGCAGTTATCCAAACGCAAGAAGTGTTTCAATCTCTATCTGAAAAAAATACACTTACCAAACTGCTCTATCATTTTCAAGCGCTCGCTGAACATCGACAGTGCATTCACCAAGGAACACATTATCGCCATCGGGACAGTAATCCCAGAGAGTCACCTCGATCGCACGTTCCATCAGGCTCTCGCCATCAACTCCAGTAAAGAACAATGTAGCGTTCCAGATAGGTTTCTGGGTCGGCTCAGCTACGATAGTTTTCAGCGGAGTTGCATTGCCGCTATAAAGGTCACGAGTGATTAATTAATCTTTCATTTTAAGCGTTCGAAGCATAAAGTAAAGATAAGTGAAGAAAGAGAAATCAATTTGGCGAAGTTCTTGGAGAAGCAATTAAACGCATTAATCGCGTTCACGCGGAACTATTGTGAAATATCAATTGATCTGTCATGTTCTAATTTTATCTAATTTATTATTTTTACTTTGCTTCGTATCGTACGTTTTATACGGTCAAGAATCGATTTCGCGGAGGACCAACGTGTCGGATACATTCAGTCCAAGAATTTACGAGATGTCCATGGACTTACGATGGTGGAGCAAGGATAAGCTTTGCGAAAGCCTCCGGCAAGGTACCGAATCCGGTGTCTTCTCGCGCACATAAGTCGTCGGCCATGAAAACCGAAACGACCAATTCTTTGCGTTCCGTCTCGTACGAAACCTGGATCTGTATGCGGCCGGTCACCTGCCTCTCCTTCGCTATTTGTTCCTAAAAGATACGAGACCAATCTTAACATTTCTAGTGCATCGTAATCCGTAGGGTTGAAGATTTTTTAACCTGCTGGTGGAGATGAACGTTCCTTCATTTTCATAATTTAGATATAGTTCCCAAAATATAAAGCAAATAGTAATAAAACGTTGATATTAGAGTGGAGAATTAATTATTGAAAGCAGTTATTAATATACATATAATAAATACGGAAATTTAAAACGAAATTCATTAACCAATTTATAGCAATAATGATAAAACCGATAAAACTCGAAAATAAAAGTATCATCTTAAAGGTATCTAAATTCTCCGCCAGAATACATCGAACGATTTTTTAATGGAACCTTCGTGCTCCACTCGCGGTTGTTGAGGAGACCGAAGCGGAATTCATTTTGCATGCAGAAGCAGTTTCGCGGTGGAGTTTTGTTGAGAAGATAAAACGAAGGAAAAGAATGTGAGCAAACTAAGAGCAGTCCTCGAGGTTTAATTTTATTCGTGTCAAGACCCATTTCATGACGCAGACCATACAAGTAGCAACTATGGGTGTGTATAGTTGTGTGTGTGTGTGTGTGTGTGTGTACAGGGGTGTAATCCTAGAAAAGTACTGATCTGTTTCGCTCTTTTATTTAATTTTTATTTAACTCTTTCAAACTAGCTATTCGGGCCAATGATTTTATCTAATTAATCCTAATTTATAATGAATATTTCTAATCTTTAAATTGAGATAGAAATCTGATATTACAAACAATTCATTGGCTCTTTTCAATATAGATAGGTTGACACAATTATAATTTCTTTATTATAGAGTTTATAAAGGATTTTGAATGTAAAGTTACAAAGATCTTTATCTTCGAATATCCTCGAAGAGTTAACAGAGAAATATTGGAAATCTTAAGATCTTTGAAAGCTTGAAAATCCATAGTTACTACAATATTGAAACTTAGACATCTCCAAAGACAGAGTTCCTTATCTTTAGAGCTTTATATAAAATGGAATCTTTTAATCCTTACATCTACGGATTTTTGGATTTTAAATATATTCCGGATTTCACCAAATTATTTTGTTACAGAGAGACATAAAAAAAGAGACATTATATATATATCGCTCATATAATTGATATTATGTCATTAACATTATTTTAAGATTAACATTTATAATGTTTAATAATATATTTAATAATAATTTTTATTTTACATTTATAATGTTTAATAATATTAATTAAATTTACCAATTAAATAACTATAATATTATAATATATATGATGTAAAATTCATTTTTTATTATTAATGAGTAAGGATAAATTGTGTGTGCTTGAAAGAGTTAAAACAGGATAACTCTATTCTCTTATTAAAATATAAATTATTATTTGATATTTTTATCTAAATAGCATTTAAGAAAACACATCATTGGATTACAACCCTGTACGTGCGATACAGTCAAGAAAAACGTTCGTTTGAAAGCAAGCTTTTGTTAATTTTCATTAATCTCTTTTTTTCGTCACGACCGACGATTTATATGTATTTATCCTCTAGGTCTTCTTCTCCTCTCCTTGTATTCTCTTCCGATGTTTCCACGACATCGCTTCACATATCTTCTCTGCATTCCAGCCTCGCATGCCTTCCCACGTGTCTAAGCCTTTTATTATCACGAAAAAAAAACATAAATCGTCTATCACTCTTTCTCTTTTCACGTACGGTTTTCCCGAACTGTAAACTGTTTGCTACGTATTTACATCTGTATATATATTGAAAAGGTTCTTTCTACGCAAGCAACCATGTGTATCGTCGCAACGCGCTTCTTCGGCTGCAATAAGTCATACTGTAATGACATACGTATTAAAGATAATACATCTATTGTAATTCAATGTCTGCAATTTAGTGTTTTAACAATTAAAATTTAACATATATATGCTTTTGCGTTCTCTCAAAAGAGCTTATATGCAAATTGATCGTATTGCTGTTCTATTTAAATGAAAATTGAAACTAATTGATATCATAGCTCTAATATTATTATATAAAATATGAATTTCCGGATATAGGATATCAATTTGTGATATAAATACAAATCTAATATCCTAACTTTCAAAACTGAAATTTGATGCAGAGTGTGGTAATTCCGTAAACTAAACTTTTGATTAACATGCTAATTTCAAAACTATATTTTAGGATAGTAATTTTTTAGATGAAGTATATATTTACGAGAACTCTAGTCTAGTATTAATTTTTAAATTACACATTTAGCGAATTTATTAATAAATAATATTAATAATATAATATTATTTTATAATAAAAGTAAAAGATTAATATATTTATATATTATTAGATTTCTTAAATATTTATATTTTTAATATTTTAATACTTATTTGTAAATATTTATTAGTGGATTGATGAGCATTACGATATGCTTTTTTAACCATATCATTTAAAATGAAAAATGGAAACTACCACATGCGAAAAGATAATTAATGATCATAAGACGGCCGGTATTATGCTTGGAGATTATTTTTACGAACAATCTCTGTTAACAAGTGCGGTCTCGGTAATGGGAATAGAAAAGTTATCGCGGATAAAAGCGGATGAGGATGGGCGAATCTTTTTATCTCGATTTAAAGTAGAAAGTAAAAAATGAATTTTAATGAAGATGACGATGAGATTCTGGAAAGAAATCACGGTAAAAATAATCCAACTCGCTAACTTGCTATCTCTTCCCATTATCTTTTCATATAATAATTTTATATATTAAAATAGTGTATTGTCGCATATAATTTCGCTATTTAATAATCAACGTTAAAATTAGTGAAAATTATAAATCAAATATTCAAGGAATATTATCCTCTTAGAAATTCTCTTAGAAAATTCATCTGCTTTTTGTGACGTTTGCACGAGTTACGAATTGTTTATAGAACGTTTCTTAAATGATTAATTGTGTAAATTCAGACAATTAGTTTTTTTCTATACATCGATATACCGTTCCGTTCTACAATATACGTGCACAAATTTTTTTGAAGCCGAAGAAGAGCCGTTGCGACAAGCGTTGATGTACAATGTCAGTCTACGGTTGTTTCCAAAGCGCGCATTTCCCCGGTATGACAATCGGCCAGCATTGTGACACGTTTCGCAACAACCGTCCCTCTTCCCCCCCCCCCCCCCCCCCCCCCCCCCCCCCCCCCAGGAAAATTCATTCGATGTACTCGATGGAGAAGTGCGTCCATTAAATCTGCGCTTGTGCACATATACCTTCCGTGTCCGTATAATACCAGGGAAAAGCGAGAATGTTGACAACAACCAAACGCCCGCGTTTCCATCCGAGCGATCCGCGCGCTTGTTCGTCGTTACCGTTAAAGATTATCGGCTTCGCCGCCTCGTATAGCCCGGTCGTTAAACATTGGATAAAAACGCTTAAGCTCCGCAAAGATTAAAAAAATAAAAAAATAAAAAAAAAAACAGGACGGACGGAGCCCTTGAATACTCGTTTATATTTATTTAACCGCGTGCTCGTCGAAACGCGTTGCATATCGATGGGACATTGAATTGTCGATTTCACACTGCCGTCGATTGCTAGCCGCAGCATCACAATTGCGAGCGCGCCACAAGTGATACCTCTCGCAATGATGACAATGCGCTCGGACGTTTGGCATTTGTGCATCACTCAGGACGAGTTTGGTGTTCGTGTGTCTGCGCTCGCAACCAAAATTAAGGACAGCGGACAGATAGGGGGAAAAAAGAGAAAAAGAAAGACAGAGAGCCATACATGTGTGTGTACGTGGAGAAAGAGAGAGGTTGGTATACGATCTATGAACTGAAATTATCAGCTAAACAACGAGACAGCCATAGACGTACGAGAAAATTGGAGAGAGAGAAAGAAAGAGCGAGAGAGAGAGAGAAGAGAAAGAAAGGTGAGAAACGAGCCGCCAAGGAGGAAAAAAACGCTAGCGTACAACTAGAATTCGTGCCAGTTGGGAGAGAGTAGCGTGGAGGGCCAATATGCTAAACTTGCTCAACATGAACAACTTACATTTCGTCTTTTTCATTTCTCTTTCGTCTCAGCGGATCTATTGCTTTTTTTTTTGTTTCTGATCATTATACGTCTATTTTTTTTTTAGTATTTACACGGTGCGGTCAGCTTTTGTCAGCGGGTATATACAGGGAGACATACAGTTGCGTATATGCATGTATATATATATATGTATAATATAAAGAAACGTAGATGACATCGAATATGTACATTCGTATGAGTGGAAGTAACGGATTTACTTAAAGTAACGTAGAGCAAAGAGAGACGGAGCAGAGTGTGTAGAGATCCAGAGAGGAGTCTCGTGTAAGTCCATCGTACATCGGGGATGAGAAGAATCAGAGTTAGAGACAAATAGAAAGTGGAAGGAGGAAAGAGAGAGAGAGAGAGTGAGTGAGTGAGAACAGAGGGGGGACGAGATATCAACTGATCGTGATAGCGAGATATACGTAATCTAACGTAAAAGAGAAATGGAGGAGCTGTGCAAAAATGTGATAAGGAGAAAGAAACAGTTAGAGAGTGAGAACAGCGGGGACGAAGAAGATGGATATACATTTATACATATATATGATCTTTCTCTGGCAGGGTAAATTACGTAAAGAAAGATCGAGTGCCACAGCCTCCGTGTATGCATATAGAGTCGAGCTTCTCCGCGAGAATCTCCTTTAGCTTTTCCGCCGTTTCTCCTTTCCATTCAGCCTTTGGAGGCCGGCTTTTTCGTGAACGAGGAGAGGGCGAGCCTCATCGCGAATCCAAGGCTTTATAATTATACCGAGAAAATCTGGAACAGTGTCCAGCATGCTTTGCCGGGAGGAATTGGAGAGCACGTATCGCGCTACGTACATACACGTGTACGTGTTTATTAGTAATTTATAGAGAGAAATGTAACGTGACTTTTTATAAAGAGCAAACCTCTTTGAAATATCACTGTAAATTCGGCTTTCCATATTTGCAAACAGCTCTCTTCCTTTATCGAGCGTGTATTTATT